GTAGGGTGCTTGCCTCACATGCACAAGGCCCTGGGTTCAATTCCCAGCAACACACACACACACACACACACACACACACACACACACAATGTTGATGACACTGGAGAAGTGATTTTGAGAAGTGATGCTGAATTTTATGTAATTTGAAAATTATCTAATGATGACTATACAACCTAATATAACTAATCAGTGGTTTATATAAATTCATGCTGTTTGGTTGTCATTATTTTTGCACATTTTCAATTAGTGAATAGATATTACTCAGAAAAGTTTATTGATAATAAATTGTAATATATGTACTAAACTTATGCCCAAGAAAGGTTCCCTTAGGCTCTTTGCAGTATTTTGCTAATACACATCCATTTTAAATGTTTTGTTGGTGCCATGGTATCATTTATCCTTGTTATAACTACAGCAGTGTCTTCTCTTGCATAATTCTCCTTTTGCTATCATGTTTTACATTAGGGTTTTATTTGCCCTCAAGCTTCCTGTCCTCCCTATAGCAGTCAGAAAAGCTGGCTTCAGAAACCAGCATACCTAACTACCCTAGCAGAAGACAAGTATTTTGCAATGTATTAAAAGCCAAGTAATCTCTATTTCTAAARCTTAGTTTTTATTTTTCAAAAGAAGATTATCAGCAGTATATTAGTAAAACTGTTTCTATTCTGCATGTTACTTTATCAAAGTCTATGTGATGACTATTATTCTTAAGGAAAATAAATATTCCTTAAATTCTAATGTAACCCAAATTGAAGGGTAGTTTTTAAATGTTGAAACTTTTTTTTTTAAATATATATTTTTTGTTGTCAATGAACCTTTATTTTATGTGTGGTACTGCGAATTGAACCCAGTGCCTCACACATGTAGTCAAGTGCTCTACCACTGAGCCACAACCCTAGCCCATAAATGTTGAAATTTTTTGAGGATGAAAGTAGAAAGTAAATGAGGGCTTTCTAGGATCCTCTCATCTTCTTTGTCCTCAAACTTTGAGCTATCATAGGTTCTCCTCCATACAGGAGAATGATCATCCTAAATTTAGGTCAAGTTCAATGATGCTATTTGTTCTGTCATGGAGACTAGAAATTTGGATTCAGAATTGCCTCTGAGATATCTGAAACTGACATCAACTACCTTATATATATATAAATGGAAAATTGTAAAAGTTAAAAATATTTTTAAAAAATGAAAAATTAAATTATGGTGAATYTTTTTCAGGATTTTTCATTCTGCTATTCTTTTCATTTGGATAATTCTTTTCTTGTTCAATAGTGAGATAATTTGCTATATTTTAAAATTAATACATGGTTGCATTCCTTTTCCCTCTGCACAAGGAGGGTTGTTCTAGTTCTGTCACATGCATTGGTTTTACCCCCCCCAGAAAAATGCACAAGGGCACTGAGTGGGGCAACACTTCTCATCTTCCTTTGATAGCTACCTGCTGTTTCATTATTTTTTCAATCCTTGCCTACACCTCCTTCCCCAAATTCAGAATCCAGCATTCTTCTGAAATTCTTTTCTTCCCTACTTCAAAACAGCTATTTATGTACTAATACAATATTTGAATAATACAAGCTCAGTCTTGACTACTTCCTCCAGGCAGATTTTTCAAACCAGGAAATTATCAACATTCTTTTTAACTAGTAGCATTCTTGAGTAAGATACAAGATGTTTAAAGGTGTTTTTAAAGGCTGCTCAGTGTATGAAGATAGCAAGACATTTTAAAGACTAAAATGGGTATTGACTTGGTCCTCTCCTATCCTGTTCATCTAGTTATTATTGTAGATTTTCACAAATTTGTTTTATTTACTCCATTAACTGGCCTTAATTTTATGAGGTCTTCCTGGCAGATATTTGAAGTTCAGGAAAAAAGAAGGATAAGTAACCCACGTTTGGCTATCTTTTGCCCCCTGTTAATACTGAACTCCCTTGCAAAGCCCTCTTTCAATCACACTTACTTTGGGGAGCCTACAAGGGTTGTGACGTGTTTATAACCAAATCCAGTCGTTTACTAGTGGACATAGATCATTTTCTTCTTACCTGCCTCACCCACTCTGTGCTAGATCTGTTCCTTCAACTGATTATTACTGCAGTTTCTCCAGGTGGCATGGATCATTCCTTGGCTTCATATCTACTTTTCCTGGGCACAAATTCGGTTTTGTCTGGATACCACCACTCTCAATGAGGACACAAATACAACAGGCTACTGTCCCGCTTCCTTTCTGCTAGGCACCAACTCCTACTACCACTTCTGTACCCTTATATCATGTTTTTGTGGAGTCACAAAGAGGTCCTTTATAAAATACAAGGAGGGTGTCTCTCCCCTCCTTTTGGGAAACTATAGCAATATTGTTTGTATACTAGAGCATTTGGAGAAATAGCTTACGCATTTTTTTTTTTTTTTTTAGTTCTCCTACTCCTGTTAGAAATGGATGTGAATGAATCCTTGGGTGCTAAGCTGGAAGACAAGTCCAGGTACTGGACTCTACATTGTACATTTTCAGAATTTTCTTGTACAGTGGAAAGGATGAATGGTGTTGCTCTTGGCATTTGATGCTCTCCCTAGAGCTCATTTTTCCTGTTGTCCCCCAAAACATCATAATTTCTGAGTAGTTCAGGGCTTTCAACCTTACTAAAGATATGGGCAATAGATGTATTATTTTTTCAAACTAAAGGCATTTCTACCTCTTAGAAATAGCCAGTATAGATAATAAAGAAATGGATTTCAGTCTCCATTTCTGTTATCAGGATAAAGTTTTAACGAATTTTTTATTATTGAATTGACTTATACTTAAAAATAGAATGTCAAGTTGTCCTTTTTTAATGTGTAACTAAAGGTACAGCCCTTGTGTATTTTGTTTACCTAATAAAAATCTTTTTATGTAACAACAGCTGAACTTTAACCTTGTCTTTGCCCAAATTGCCACAAATTGTAATTATTTGTATCTGAATAAATTATAAATTGAGGAATGTGACTTATTTTCTAGTAAAATCTGAGAATTGGTGATATTTGGTGCTCAATATCAGAGGAAATATGTACCAGTTTCACCATATCCTTTCTTCTTTATTCACAATGACGTGCTAATTCATTTGCATGATTTAATTCAAATATCTTCTCTTGTATAGAAACATCTCCACATATGGATGTTTTCCCTTCATTAACCACCTGTTGTACTTAGTACTTATTCATTCAACTATATATTGTGACAGCTAGCATTTTGTTACAGCAGAGTAAGAGATTGGGGGTCCTTTGTTTGATCTGTTATTTTTAAAGGCATTTTAATGTAGGAGAGTGGATTTAGATCCACCTCAAATTTACTATTATTAGGATAATCTGTTTTCTTCTTACCCTTTCCAACTTCATATTTTGTTCACTTTTCACCMTGCACCTAGATCTACCATCATCTGTGGTACATGCCATCCTTTCACTCACACTGTCATCTGTGCTCCCTCCCACTCCTCTGTACGCCAGTACAGCAGAGCACTGGAGTTGCCACACAGCCTCATACAGGGTGCTAGTTGCATAGATTCAAAACCTGCCTCCACCTCCTGCTGGCTATATGATCTTTCTGTGCTTCAATTTCCACATTATAGAAGTAATGATGGTACTACCTCAAAGAGTAGCTATGAGGGTTAAATGAGTTAATACATATAAAATGTTTAGAACAAATTTTTAGTATTATCTGTTTTTGTTAACCTCATTGTTGTCATCATTAACTGATAAATTCCTTCTTTAAGGACCACTAACATTTTAAAACTTCTCTGTAGCTTTCTTACAATCCTGCTGTTTAGCCTTGATTGGGCCCTTCTTTTATGCTGCTACATTTTTCATTTTGCCTTTTCAGTTCTTAGCATGCTGTGTCTTCTTAGTTGAATACATCTGTTTCTTGATGATTTTAAGTGCAGTGAGGTTCTGTAAAGGTGAAGGAAGTCCAAGGAAGTTTGTACTATGTCTAAAATTGTTTTAGATTAGCATCTATATGAATAGTATGGGAAATATTTTTAGTTACTCCTAATGTTAAAGAAGCTGAGGTGTTTTCTTCCATTAAAAGATATGTTAAAATATTTTTCAAATGTCTTTTGTTATTCGGAAATTTGCTGGAAGAACATTTATTTTATGATTTCTGTACAGAATGTTCATAGTTTAAATACTGTCTATAGTTTAATATATAGCATAGGATGCATATAGTACCATATGAATTTCCAAGCAAACATTTGAAACTTTTTAAAAAAAATTGTAAAATGTTGACTCTCCCCACCCTGCATTTAGACTGACCTTCTTCCAGTCAGTCCAAATTGATATGGTTCTACTTGATTAAAAAACAAAAAAAAGTATTCATAGTGTCTATCACTAGCTCCTGCTATTAAAAGGTATGAAATATAGGATGTCCATTTTCATGATCTGGTTTTTGTTTTACATGTAGTTAGAATAGACTGGATCCATCATGCCATGGAGATTAACAAACTAATCCAAATGCTAATGTGGTTTCACACAGTTTACTTTTAAGTAATTGTGTTTCATATAATGGTAACTATATACCATTTACCTTGTAAATTCCACTTTAATTAGCCTGTTTGTGTGTGGTAAATCTTAAATATTTGCTTTGCATATTAAAAATGTAGCACAAAATGTGCTTGTACTTAATAACTACCTAACAGATTTTTCTTTTCCTTAAAATTGTAACTTAAAAATGTCCAAATATTAAATAATTCCAAGTATACTCAGTCTTAACCAAACATATGCTATTGAAAACCTAAATACATATATATTTTTCTTATCACATTTCTCAATGTGATGACTTATCCAGGGGAAAAAAAGTATATTTTTCCTTTGTCTACAGTTTATTTCTGAATGGTTAACCAAATATATTTATTCTAATGTACCATATCTCAAATATCACTACTTGCAGTTGATTTTTTTTTTACTATTTCTCAGGGATTTTGGTTTTATTGGCAAGAAAAGATAATTAATTGGCATCTCTTTTTAATTATTTTTAAAACAGGACAAAGATTCCTTCTGCCATCAGATGTCTTTCTGCTTGACTGAACTGCACCTGTGGTCTTTGAAGAATACCTTACACATTGGGGGTAAATGATCTCTGAATCAATTTCAGTATTTTTTAAGTGTGTTGCACCATTATAAATAAGCATAGTAAGGGTTAAAGCCTGGATTCTCCAGCTGGAGTTGCATTCTTTCCTTTATCCTTAATGAAAAATTGGGTAATAAAAATTAATTCCTTTTAATTGCTTTTATTAACTTATTTTTTCAGTTGAATTCATTTTTCAGTTTTGAAAATAAATTTTATTGTCTTAGTATTTGTTTCCTCTTAAGACAAGCTCACTTTTCCGCCTGTGTTTCTTCCTAATAACTGCTTTATTTATTTATTTTTATCTTTATTTATTTTTATCTTTATTTATTTTTATGTGGTGCTGAGGATTGAACCCAGGGCCTTGCACGTGCTGGGCAAGTGCTCTACCGCTGAGCCACATACAACCCCAATCCATAATAACTGATTTATAATCATAAATATTTGCAGGCTAGCTAATGGTAAAGATATTTCTATTTGATATTAAAGTGACATTTAAAATATCTAGATGTGCAATTATTTTTATATTCTTTGCATTTCAGATTTCTTGAGAGGAAGTAATATAATTGTTTTAATAATGCTTAGTATTATAGGATATATTTCTATGAAATATATTTCTATAAAACATCTTTTTTCAAAATTTAAGTTTAATTTTTTTAGATGTTGATGGTCCTTCCTTCCTTCCTTCCTTCCTTCCTTCCTTCCTTCCTTCCTTCCTTCCTTTTTTTCTTTCTTTCCAGTGCTGAGAATTGAGCCCAGTGCCTCACTAGGCAAGCACTCTACCACTGAGCCATACTCTACCCCCTAGAAAATATCTTTTTAAAAATCCTTTCTTAATTTATTAATCCAACACAACTTTTGTAATAGGACATTTTTACTTATACACCTTTTATATCATTACTAAGAAAATGGTTTACCTTGCAAAGTATTTTTTGTTAATATTTTCAGTATGTTTATCCTCCTTAAAATGTGTGAGGTTAGAACTTCCAGGTAAACAAAAATTTAACAAACATTTTCTTTCTTCTAATATAAGAGTAAATGAATTAAAATAAAGGAGATATAAAACCATTAGGATTAAGAGAATAAGAAAGGGGCCAACTGCATTTGGACAATTTTTGAAAGATGGATGGAATGGGAGTTAGCAGAGTTGAAAAATCTGAATATCAATTGCCTACTGAGGAAAATTCCACTGACAATTTATTTGTGTCTCAGAACTCTTGAAAGTACAGAAATTTGAGTAGCCAGGTGCAGATGATGGTGATGTGTTATGAGGGTGACAACAAAGCGACATGAGCTTCAGTGTAAGAAGCAGGTAGACATCTCTCATACTGTGGAAGTATTTAATTGAGGAGGCTATAAAGTTGGGGACATCAGAGTCAGTGGAAGCAGAACTATTAAACTAAAAACAGGGATAAAATGGAAACCTACATGCTGATGGGTGAGGTCGTCCTCTTAATCCCCCTTGGTTTTTAGAATGTCACTCAGTTATACATTTTGCAAGAAAGAAGGAGCTTGAGAAATTTCTCTTCAGCTTGATTGCATCACCCTGGAGAGAAAAATATATCTACTCTGATATTTGAGGGGGTCTTCCATTGAAATACCCTGGTCCCTGGCTAATCAGTGAAGCTCCCACCATACCCCTTTGGCAAGCTCTGCTTATGTCTAGTTAGTTTTCTAGTGCCTCAATTGGAAATATTAACAGAGAGCTAAGAATCATCCAGATATTTGAGGAATGATTTAACAGGAAWCAAAAGAAAACACAAAGATGAAAGGATGTTTTAAGAAACAAAGATAATGTAGGAAGAGAAAAGAAAGTACAACAAAGACCTAAGGAAAGATTGAATCCATGAAGCAAGAAACAAATATAGAAGCTTCAGAAAACATTGAAAGTTATACTAATTTCTTAGAGATTAAAAATGAACATCAGAATGTAATCRACCAAGCTGTTATGTGCATGTATGAACATATCACAGTGAATTCCATTTTTATATATAACTATAATGAACCAATTAAATTTTTTTAAAAATGAAAAGATGTATATAACAACAACAACAAAAACAACAACAACAAATAAATAAAGCATAGCAGGAAAAAATTTAAAGCTCAAAAACATAATAGAGGCTGGGCATGGTGGTRCATGCCTGTAATCTCAGTGGCTCCAGAGGCTAAGACAGGAGGATTGTGAGTTGAAAGTCARCCTCAGCAACAGTGAGGCTCTAAGCAACTCAGCGAGACCCTATCTCTAAATAAAATACAAAATAGGCAGGGATGTGGCTCAGTGGCCAATTTCTCCTGAGTTCCTGACACCCCTCACCCCCCCCCAAAAAAAAAAAATTAAAGAAGTTATATCAAAAAATAAAACACATACACATTCAAACGACAACAACAACAACAAAAACCACAAAGAGAGCTTACTTCAATGCTGGTCAGAATCTTTAATTAAAGAATTTTCTTCTCTGATCATAATTGCTTTATTTTTTTGATCTTTCTTATTTCCTTACCCTTATATATCTAGRTTTTATGCTTCTTTGAGACTATTTATCTTTTAATCTCTTGAGTTCTCCTAGTCCAACAGGCCTTCCTTTACTTATCCTACCCAGCTTGGACCCCATATTTGGAAATCTGATCTATTCTATCTTGATTCCTTCAGGTCTTCTCTTTCTTGTCCCACAGACTTCTTCCCTGCCATTTCTACTCCGAGGCAGTGAGTAGTGATGTGTAGTGGCCTTATGGGGGAAATAGTGGTCTTCAGCCCCACCTGGATCTTTGTTTGAAGGGGTGCTTTACCACTGAGCTATGTCTCCAGCCTTTTTTATTTTTATGTTAAGACAAAGGTCTTGCCAAGTTGTTGAGGCTGGCCTTGAATCTGCCTTAGACTCCTGAGTCACTGGGGTTACAGGCATGAACCACTATGCCCAGCTCCACCTGGCTCCTTAGCAGGGCCTATCCATTCTTTCTGTAAGAACATTCTTTTCTTTGAACCCATGAAAAATCCTACTGCTTCTTTAGGGTTCAGCTTTCATATGTTACTTAGAAGCATTTTCTGCCTTCTAAACTAAGAAGCCCTGTTAACATGCTCTCATTAGGCTAGACATTTGAAGAATTTAAAATTGTTTTTGAGCTGAGCATGGTGGTGCATGCCTGTAATCCCAATGATTTGGTAGGCTAAGGCAGGGAGATTGGATGTTCAAGCCCAGTTCAGCAACTTATTGAGATCTTGTCTTAAAAGTAAAATAAAAAGGACTGGGGATGTGGTTTAGAGGTAGAGCACCCTTGGGTTCAATCTCTAATATTACCAAAAAAAGAAAAAKAAATAATCACAAATTATCTATCTCAATATATTGAAAGCCATGAGTTTGCATTGGTATCTCAAATTATTACTAAAAATTTCATTTTAATTTTTTAAGTTTTCATATCATATTTATTTTTTTCAGACAGAAACCTGGAGCTCCCATTTCTTTGCTTTATTTACTTAATCAATCACCCTATATGCAGTCAATCTCCTATTTCTGTGGCCACTTCCTCCCCTGCAGTTATCCTTTGATCCCATGTGGGTTTTGACCCACCATACTGGGCTGCCCATATATTAATGTCGTATTTAACTTCTTCAGCTTCTGATACACCACCCAACATCATTGCCCCATGTAAATGTCCTTCATACTCTACAAGGGTTCTGATACACTATGTTAGGCTGACTATTGCATGGACACCTTCTTCATTCCACCAGGGGTGTTCTAGCACCTCTGGTGGTAAAGTTCTCATTATGAGGATGYCTCCTTGTCTTGCTTACCCTTTGACAATCCCACTCTGGCCAGATGTGGTAGATCAGACTTACGCACTGAATTCAGGTTTCCTTATTTTAGTTATAGCTCTAGTGTAGAGGTGTAGTAAATATTTAAATGTATAGAATGATGGAATGATTGGTTATAAGTTGGTATATTTTAATAGAGGATATTGGCTACATATATAGTATCCATGGTTCTTACCTTTAAGCAACAACAACAGACTTTCATTGAAGTATAGCATCTGTACTGAAAAGTGTATATATCATAAGCATATGTTGTGAACTGTCAAAAAGCAAGTGCACTGATAAAATCACCACTGTCAGGTGAAAGTATAAAAATTTTATCAGTATTCAAAAAGCCCAGTTTATGACTTCTCCCAATCAATCCTCAGCACATATTTCCAATMTAACTATATTCTTTAAAATTGTATTCTTAAATAATGGCATGAGTAAAATAGAGCTTCAATAAATATACATGATTGACTCTTTTGAAAAACTGTATTTGAAGAGTTAATTATAGCAGTAATACTTTTATCATTCAGTTCCGGAAAGTTGGGAGCAGTCAGTCACTAGGGGGCAGCCTGTACTGCTTCCACTTCTTCAGAGACAGTTGTATCCTCCTTATGGTAGTAACTGAGAATTATTTCACATGGAAGAAAACAAATGTTACTTCAATGAAAGAAATATTTCATTATTCATAGATATGGTGAAAATGGACAAAATTATTCTGTTCTCCTGTATTTAAATTGCAAGAACAGATTACTTGGTTAAATCAATGTCAACATCTGGGAAGCCTAGCTTTGCTTCTTACCTAACCACAGCAGAGTATCTGAATTTGAATGAGTTTGGAAGCTTTCTGAATCTAAACAAGTTTCAGATAATAATTTATCCATACCTCCCTGTAATCCTCCCTTTCTTTCCTGCAGATTTCTTCCCAAATGCTGTAGATGGAAACTAGACTCTTGAGCTAAATTGGAGAAAAGCAAGCCACAGCTCGGAATCCAACAGCTAGGGCATTTTCTTCCATCCACTGATTTCATTTGGCATTGCTTAGTGGCAGTTCCTTTTGGTAGCGCCCTGTGAAAAATATCAGAGGAAGTGTGAAAGAGAAAACTTGGTCTTCCTTGATTTCACTTCTTTACTAATCTTTTCCTCATGCCATTCTAGTTTTGTGTAAATTTTTTCTTATTAGATTGATAAACTTTCCAGTTTCTGCATATCCCTAGAATAGATGAACCCATGTCCAGATGCTTTTGAGCTATTTTATTTCTAGTAACATAAGGAGACTGTTTCTGCTTCCCCACCCTTCCCTCCAGCATAGTATGGTTTGGCTTCTTATTCTCCAGAACTTTTTACCATAATTTAGTGTTACTTCTTCCTTTCTATAGATAGAGATATTGGAGTCTACCAGTATTATGACAAGAAAGATCTGCCAGGTAAAGTACCTATTCTACTCAGCTAATTTTTATAAACTAAAAATTCAAAGCAATGAAATACTGACCATTAAAAACTGTTTTTGTGAGCTTTAGATAAATTCTAGAATTTTAAGAAAAGTCACTTCAGTTCTTTGGGAAAATGCTGTGGTTGATATCTCTCTGGTCTATATACTATAAAGCTATATTGAGAAAATGTTATAGAAGAACCTGAAAATTTTCATTTTACTGCTGATCAGGCTGATAATAGGACAGTCTATTCACATTTAGTTATTGGTGTCCCAGGAGAGGGCATTGTTAAAGCATGGGTCCCACTGATGCTGGCCTCCCGGATCCTCACCTGATATCTGAAATAGGCATTTCTGAGTGAATGATCAATTTTCTTTATCTGATTAATCCTGTTAATCCCAGAAGTTTTATGTTGAGCCAAAAGGTCTCCCTGCTAGAGTTAYTTCCTGTTCTGGTCTCTGTTGAAGTAGGGCTTGTGTGAGCATCCTGTGTGCTTACCATGGTGGTTAATAGGCTGACTTCATGGTTCTGATGACAGACTGTTGCAGCTTCTCTTCTGGGCTCTGTTGCAGTTCCTTTCCCTATCTGATGAGATTGGAAACTCAGGATATTGGCCCACCTGTTGTGCTACGTAAGCCTTTTCACTGCAAATTTAGGAAGTATCACTATGAATGAAAACATTCAAATTGTGGCATTTTCCTCAACTATCTTTTTTTTTAAAGTTTAGCACAATTTATTAATCTTATAATACATGTAATAATCCATTGTATATGTACATATTAAAATACAATATAATAAAAATAAATTCCATGTCTTTTCTTCTTTTTATCTCTTCTCTGCCTTGAATATCAGCGACAGAGCATGGTAACTTAGAAGAAAAGCAGAAATTGGCAGAGTGTAAGCTTACTTTATATATTTTTGGAATTATAAAACTGGATAATTCAGTATTACAAAGTATTCTGCTTTCTGCACAAATCGGAAATGTTATTCTGTCCAAATTTCTTATAAGTTTTCATTGCTTAGATACATAAAATTATGAGTAAGAATTATATTTGTTAGGCTTTTCTAATTTAGATCATTGAAATCCAATTTTATAAACATAAATTTTCTTAATGAATTATATTTAAATTAATATATTTAAAATATGTGTACCATACTTAAATTCTGATAACATTTAATTATTCATAGTTTGCATAAATTGTTAACATTCTTTAGCCATTTTAAGAATGTAAGATTTATAACATCAGTATTAACATTTCATTTAGTCTTTGCTGGTTTAATATGTAAATATGTTGTGTATATATATGTATATATATACATGAATAAATATATATACACATACATAATATAACTACAGTATGATATGGTTTTTATAAGTTAAATTAAAATATAATTTAAGATCTTATTTGGAATATAGTTAGAACTAAAAAATTTCACTTATTCTTTTGTTTTAAATGATTGAACTGACATTCAGTTTTAAAATACTGTATTAGTACCTGAAACACAGATTTAAAAATTTGAACATATGCTTTACACATCAAAATTGTGTTTATAGAGCCAAATTAATTTGCTGAAATAAAATACATAGCAATTCTACTCTCTGCTTTCAATATCTATGTACTCTACGTGTTGAGAAAATGTTATAGAAGAACCTGAAAAATGTATACGCAATACAATATACACATATGTACACTCATGTATACAATTCTTAGAATTATTAATTAGGAGAATCCAAAACTGAATTCATTTTTTAATAAAATATATATAATTAGTTTAACATTTTATTTTATTATGGTACTGGGGATTGAACCCAGGGCCTGGCACATGCTAGGCAAGCACTTTAGCACTGAGCTACACCCACATTCCAATTTTATATTTTTAAACAGAACTAGTTTTAATTTGTCTTAGGTTAATATTGTGACTCTACAAATAATCTAATCTTTCAGTTACATTTATTTGAAACAGAGGCATATCATTATTGAATTGCTGTGTAGATTTTCAAAAAGATTATTTTAAAAAGTATTATTTAGTGTCAAATTTGTTTAAATTTGAATTCCTCTCATTTAAATTCATTCATCTGTCATTTTGAAATTTTATTTATTTTCTTCCTGCATTTCTTTACTCATAATAGTTTTCAGATCTGAGTAGGCCACCTGAACGATTTGGAATTTCTTTCAGATATTTACTTATTTACATGAAAAGGTTACTTCAGTGGTAAATAGTGGGTCATTTACTATTAAATACTACTAGATTCAGACCTAGCAACTTTCCCAGGGATTCTCTTAAGTCTTGTTGGTTGTCATCATAAAATTATCATCAGGGAGATTGCTTTGTGGTAAAAATCCTGTTCCTATGACAAAGCCCTTTAAAAGGCTGTCATTTGATGATAGAAATGAAGGCCACTTCCTCTCAATTATGGAGGTGTTTTATTTTAATCTTCCTAAAGCACACTGCTAAGCAGAGTTTTCTTTTTAAAATCATGTTTAACTAACTGTAGTATGTTTTATTTGCCAGCACGAGATTATCCTTGGACGCTCAAAAATAGACGCCCAGAAAAACTTCGAGATTCGCTCAAAGAGTTAGAGGTATCTTTCACAAAGTTTCAAAAATGGCAGTAAACAAATCTGTTTTAAAACATCTTTCAACAGCTTTAATTTTCATAAAGGATCAACTCTCATGGTGATGATAGCTTTGCTTTTGTCCGGTGAGAAGTTCCAAAACAGTTGCATCTTTGTGTGGCATGTTGACTTTTTTTTGGGTGGGGGGGCTGAAAATCAGAAGCACTTTAACTGATAATGACAATGTGTATGGCCAACTGCACTCTCTCTTTTTCTGTTGTTCTTCAGGAACTGATGCAAAACAGTCAGTGTGTGCTGAGCAAATGGAAGAATAAATCTGTCTGTCAGGTAAGATAGTTTGACAAGTTTTTGCAATGTGTCACCAGTGAAGCTGAAAACTATGTAGTAATTGGTATTCTTGTGTTATGATAGGTATTGGACAAAAACTTTTTTAGGAGTTAATATTTCACTGTTTGAATTCTAGTTAGACAGATTGACTCAGGTCACTAGCTACTTCATTAATCAGTGTAGTTTCACTGACATACTATTACACACTAATAAAAATTTTTTCAGATAGTATTTTTAAGTTTGTCTGAATACTGTATTAGATATTTACTAGCATTTAATTATATATATACACACATATATATACATATATGTATATATATATATATATATATATATATATATTTTTTAGTTGTAGTTGGACACAATACCTCTATTTGTTTGTATGTGGTGCTGAGGATTGAACCCAATGCTTTGCGCTTGCTGGGCGAGCGCACTATCACTGAGCCACAACGCCAGCCCTAATTATATTTTTTAATGAAGAAGAGACCATAGGATAAAAGTTTTTTTTTCAGTATTACACTCTAAGCATTTGTGAATATTATGCTTATGGAAATCAGTAAGCAAACTAGAGCGAGTCATAATATAACAACATATTCAGTCTTAGTTTTTGAATCCTCTAACTTGCACTGTTTAATATGGTAAGCCATATTCTACTTATTATTACTTATCTACTTATGTTACTCTACCCTTATTCTACTATTTGAATAATTAAGAAAAATTTAAATTTAGTTCCTCAGTTGTACAACCAACATTTTAAGTGCTCAGTAGCCACATGTTATCATATTAGACAATGCAGATATATAGAACATTTCACCACAGAAAGTTCTATTGCACAACCCTTTTAGGTCCTATWGAAGATGTGTCAGTGGGTTTAGATTTAGAGCATAATCAGAACATATTAGTGTACATTGATCCCAAAATAATGAACAGATACCTTAGCTGTGCTGAAAGGCTTAAAAAATACTATTTGGATAAAAAATTTTACTTGCTTGTGATTAAAAAAAATAATCATCAATCATCCATAAATTGAAGTTGCATCATTACTACTAATACTTTTAATTTATTTATGGGATCAAACATCCTGTGTTAATTTAAATTTTTATCTACAGTGTAATTTATTTCATGTGTAAACATTCTTGTTTGCAGTTTAGGTCCATGTTGTTTTTATCCATAAATCTACAAAACATCAAATTTATAGTAATTATAAAACATATCTTAATCTGCCTTTAAAGAGACCATTGTTTTACTGGATTTTATTTTTTTAGACACTTTTTTGTCTAAATCAGTCTACCTTTCGTCATGGAGGTATATAACTATTTGTTATCTCCTCAACTGACATATATTTCCAGAAAATATTTACAAGGCTGAATTAATATTTTTAGAAACATAATACTTCTTAAATTCTTTTCAGAATACTATTCAAAAGGATGGGATTGTCTTAAAATCACAAGTTTTGCATAAAAATGTTTTAATCAGACTTTAGATCTTGAATACAAAATGTACTCCAGAAAGTTTCAGACTTAGTACAATTCAAAAATACAGTTCTTTATGCCATTACTCACTTTAAAAACAGGCTCAGAATTATTTGACTGGAGGGCAAGCCTGCCACCTATAGTAAGGGGTGTGTCTCATGGTCTCCACCCTTACCACTACACAGGTAAGTTGGAACWTGTCAGGCATCTTAAAATATGCAGTGGAATATCCCAATAGACAATCCTTTTAAACAGACATCATTGCCTTTCAATTTAATAGCAAGTTTATGTGTGGGTGGTATGTTAGAGAAGGATATACCTCAATATTGAATTAATTCAACTCAAGAATCCTCATGATAGAGTATATAGCACAATTATTTGTTTCATTTAAAGCAATTTGAAATACTGGTTATGCTTTTAACATTTCCAATAGGATTTATTTTATGTTCTGTCTTATTTTGTGCTTTATTTTTATGAAGTAAAAGATATTCCTAAAATAGACCTTTTATTCCCAGCACATTGTTGGTGTCATATATTTTAACAAGGTACCTTCATCTCTGCCCACAGGCCAGGTCAGTTTTACATTTTTGGGACTTTTGAGAGACTTCCTAACATTATCCTTCTACCTCTTCAGTGTCTAGAAAGGATCTTACTTAGGCCTTCTAAAAATGTGTACGAGTTTTATTCCTAAGGATCTCTAGTATCACAGAAAGGTAATATTCTGATCGTCAAACTAGATTTTTTTTAGCTTAAGGAAAAAATTTCTTAGCTCTTTTTGTTTTTGGTAAATTTAAAAAAATTTTACTTTGTGGTTAAAAAAAATCTCATCAGATTCCCTGAAGGTCTTCCTTTTATGTGCCCATTCGTTGTGTGGTTTCAAAAAAAAAAAAAAAAAGTGCATCAAATTCTCTTTATTTTCCCCCCATTTATTTAGCCCTAACCTGGCAGCAGTTGACCAGATAAATATGACTCTTATAAAAGAAGTGAAATAAAGCTCCTGGGCATCTTGGTACTAACACACTTGGACTGTCAATCTTTGAATGAGGCTACTCTTCTTACGAATATAAATGTTTTACCCCAAAGAAATGATAAATTTAAGATTTAGGGTATTTATCTCAGTTGTCATCTCTTAAGGGATTTTTAAATAGTCCAATTGTTTACACATCAGTGAGGCAACTACAGCAATAGAAAGGATTTTAGAGGAAGCAATCTGGGTTGGATCTTTTCCTGAGTCAAATAATGAGGATTTATAGGTTGTCATCATTACTAGAGCTTAATATTGCTGATCTAATGACCTATAAATTATATCATTTAAAAAATACTTCCCTCCACTTGTAAATTCAGAACAATTTACAAAGAAGATTTACCTGTGCATAAGTTTGGGATAAAAATTGTCTTTTTGAGGTTGGTTTTTCAGACTACGCCTATTCTTAGTTTGAGATGCATTAAAAAATGTGACACATAATTTAGAGTTTTTATGTATTATTCAAATTTCTCACTTTTTTGGTATCCTATATTTAATTCATAGAAAGTATTTAATAATTTCCTGTTTTGAATGTATTAAGTCATTTTACAAACTTTTCTTAGGGAAAAGTAGTTCCAGCATTAAAATACTTAAATTGTTCATCATTCTGGTGGAAGTTTTTAATTCCAGAAAGAATTATGCTTTAAGTCACATTCATATTTGCAGATTATTGTATAATTAAAGGAACATTTTCAATAAGCAGAGATCTAACTTCACATAAATTGATTTTTAGATTAAATTAATTGACTCCTGTGTATACATTTAGCCATAAGTATTTATAATATATTCAACACTACTCAGTTTGTGTCCATAACAATTTTAAATTTTCAGGTGTAATATTAAAATGATAAATTTTTAAAAATAGTTTCTATTTTAACTTCTGTAATGAGTTATTTGAAAGGCTATATAAAAACACAGATTGTTTTCCACTTGTATCACAGATTGTGACCTTATGGAATTCATTTGATCACAACTTATTTAATTGTAGAACCTGATCATTTTTTAATCAAATTGTATGGAAATCTATTTAATTTCCTCATTAAATAATAATGGACAAAYCATAGTATTAAGTTATAACTACTTTATATAGCATATTACTTATACAAAATCCATCATATAGTATTTACTCCCTTGGTGGAGGCCTTGTGGGAATGAATCACTGAGGAAATGCAAGGTGTGGCTGAGTTCCAACATAGTCAAGGAAAATAGACATGGAAATACCAAGAAACTAATGACTATTGAGTTGTAAGATACCAAATAAAAAGACAGTAGAAGGTAGAGAAAACATAGGCATTAGTGTGATATGAGATAGTTAAGAAAAATTTTGCAGAGAAGTTATAATTTTACTCAGGCCTAAAAGGATGTGTAAATTTGGTTAAGCTGAAGAGAAAGGCTTTGCACAAGGGGATTAGATGAACTGAGAATTTAGTGGGATGACTACATGGTAATGAGGAGGTGGGTCTATTTGGCAATAAATGGTTCATATTGAAGAATAAAATTATATTTTTGAAAGCCAACTTGGAGCTTTTAAAAGAGACACTTTAATATTTACATTAAGATATTCATACATTGTCTTATATAACACTATAATACTTTTATATCAGGGAAATACTGTATTAAAATTAGACTTATGGAAGAATTAGTCTTGCAGTGGAATGTAAGGTAAAACATGAAAACCYAAGGAACGCTATTGGGATTTTGATTGGAATTGCATTAAATCTGTATAGTGCTTTTGGTAGTATGGCAATTCTAATAAAAATCCTAATGACATTCCTCATAGGATTAGAAAAAGAAGTCATGAAATTCATCTGGAAAAATAAGAGACCCAGAATAGCTAAAGCAATCCTTAGCAAGAAGAGTGAAGTAGATGGCATACCAGACCTTAAACTATGCTACAGAACAATAGTAACAAAACAGTATGGTATTGGCACCAAAATAGACTGGTAGACCAATGGTACAGGATAGAGGACACAGAGACAAACCCACATAACTACAGTTATTTATATTAGACAAAGGTGCCATAAACATACATTGGAGAAAAAATAGCCTCTTCAACAAATGGTGCTGGGAAAACTGGAAATTCATATGCAACAAAATGAAATTAAAACCGTATCTTTCTACCATGCACAAAACTCAACTCAAAGTGGATCAAGGACCTAGGAATTAAACCAGAGACACTGTRCCTAAGAGAAGAAAAAATAGGTAGGCCCACATCTCCATCATGTCGGATTAGGCCCCAACTTTCTTAATAAGACTCCTGTAGCACAAAAATTAAAATTAATAATCAATAAATGGGATGGATTCAAACCAAAAAGTTTCTTCTCAGGAAAAGAAGCCATCAGTGGGCTGGGGACGTGGCTCAAGCGGTAGCGTGCTTGCCTGGCATGCGTGGGGCCCGGGTTCGATCCTCAGCACCACATACAAACAAAGATGTTGTGTCCGCCAAATACTAAAAAATAAATATTAAAAATTCTCTCTCTCTCCCTCTCTCTCACTGTCTCTCA